GAGAGTAGGGTAGAATCCTGACCTCCATCTACTTGCCCTGCTTGATTTTCTGGTCTCTGTCCACACCTCAGTGCTGACTGAGCTCTTGCTCCCACAGAGACCCTGGGAGTGCTAGCACGAGCTCTAGGAGAGTCCATGAAGCCCCTGGCTGAGGAATGCTGTCAGCTGGGGCTAGGATTATGTATCCATGTGGATGACCCTGACGTGAGGCGCTGCACGTGAGTGCCCTTTCATCCTGCCCTGCCTCTCCCGCCCACTCATGAGATTGACAGTCCCCATCCCAGATACCAGTCCTTCAGTTTCCTAACCTACAGCTAGATTTCCTGGACTCTCCCATTTGTCTTGTCTATAGCAGGTAGCACCATATAGATTCTCTCTACCTTTATCAGGTACAGCCTGTTTGCAGCCTTATCAGGGTTAATGGGAGAGGGCTTGGGACCCTACCTGCCTCAGATTACCACGCTCATGCTGCTGTCGCTGCGTTCCACTGAGGGCATTGTGGTGAGCAGAGGATGGGTGTGCTGGGCCAGTTAGGCCAAGCTAGCCCTGTGGTGGGATTTATCTCCTGGTCCCACCTGAAGCAAAGTCCCCTACCTGCTCTCTTCAACTAGCCTCAGTATGATGGGATCAGCTCCTTCCTTCTGTTTGAAGATGACAGTGAAGCTGAAGAGGAGGAGGAACTCATGGATGAAGATATGGAAGAGGAGGAGGATGATTCTGAGATCTCGGGGTAGGAGGGGGTGCTCTTCTACCTAACAATGTAGATTTTGAGCCAGAGGGCATGGCACATGCCTTTAATTCCAGCACTCAGGAGGCAGAGGCAGCGGGATCTCTGAATTAAAGGCCAGCCTGGCTGAGCAGTGGTGGCGCACGCCTTTAATCCCAGCACTTGGGAGGCAGAGGCAGGCGGATTTCTGAGTTCAAGGCCAGCCTGGTCTACAGAGTGAGTTCCAGGACAGCCAGGGCTACACAGAGAAATCCTGTCTAGAAAAAAAAAACAAAAACCAACCAAACAACAAATAAGTAGACTTTGATTGTGGACATAGCCCCAGTGTTAGGTCTGCCCCCTGCTGGCAGTTGTCATTACTGCCTCCCCATCTTTCCCTAGGTATAGCGTGGAGAATGCCTTCTTTGATGAGAAAGAAGATACCTGCACTGCCCTGGGGGAGATCTCTATGAACACCAGGTGAGTGAGCAGCAGCCCTTCTGAGGTGCTGGGAACCACACCCAGGATCCCTTTCCCCACTGCCGTGTGTCTTTCCATAGTGTGGCCTTCCTTCCATTCATGGACGCCATCTTCGATGAAGTATACAAACTGCTGGAGGTAAGTTAACAGCGCCCTCATGCTCCTGTCAGGCTTGGTGTCACCTTGCACATGCCAGGCGTACACCTGTCCTCTTGGTTCCAGTGCCCTCATATGAACGTGCGGAAAGCAGCATATGAAGCTCTGGGACAGTTCTGCTGTGCACTGCATAAGGCCTCTCAGAAAAGCCCTTCCGTTCCCAACAGCACTGGTGAGGAGGAGACGCTAGCAGGCTGGGAGCCCTCGGGAGTGGCTGGGCCTGACCAGGGCTCCCACCAATTGTGTTTCCAGCTCTGCAGTCCTCCCTGGCTCGAGTGATACCATCTTACATGCAGGCAGTGAAAGTGGAAAGAGAGCGCCCTGTGGTGATGGCCGTGCTGGAGGCCCTGACAGGGGTGCTGCACACCTGTGGCAATCTCACCCTGCAGCCTCCTGGGCGTCTGAGTGAGCTCTGCAACATACTCAAGGCTGTGCTGCAGAAGAAGGTGAGCAGGGGAGGGGGAAGGGCAGCTGTGGGGAGAGGTGTCAGGCCCCAGGAGACTGCATTGTCAGGCTTTAAGTCCTCTGCCCTTCTCACCACCACTGTGGAAAGGGGAAGGCGAGGAGTCCAAGCTCAGCTGAATGTGTCTTCCACAGACAGCCTGTCAGGACGCTGAGGATGATGATGATGAAGATGATGACCAGGTGAGAGCTACAGATAAAAGTGGCCTGGACCATCTAGGTAGGCCCCATAGGGCCAGCAGTGGACAGTGCACCGAGCTTAGCCTGCAGGAGCTAGGGCTGCTAAGAGAAGCTGGTGATTTCCAGAGTGCCACCCTCATCCGAGAAGGGCAGTGAGGAGTTCAGAAGACAGGCAGGCACTGAGGCTGGGGCAGGATTGGGAGTGATAAATGAGGGCTATAAAAAAGCCAACCTGGAAATGGCTCAGCCTGGGAAACAAGGGTCGACAGCCCCAGAAGCATCTGCAGCCAGTGGAGTAGCAGGGTTGGGAGGTGTGTGGTCACAGAGCTGGCCCAGTGCTCTAGTGCTGTACTTGGCTCCACAGGCGGAATATGACGCCATGTTACTAGAGCATGCTGGAGAGGCCATCCCTGCCCTGGCAGCCGCAGCTGGAGGACATGCCTTCGCTCCTTTCTTTGCCACTTTCTTGCCATTATTGCTGTGTAAGACGGTGAGTGCTCTCCTCCAGCCCAACATTGTAGTCCACCTCCGTGTGCATGCAGTGCCTGCACCCTCCCTGCTCTGCCACCATGCCAATTTGTACTCCTTTAACCTCCCCTACAGAAACAGAGCTGTACAGTGGCAGAGAAGTCCTTTGCCGTGGGAACCCTGGCAGAGTCCATTCAGGGTCTAGGTGCCGCCTCAGCCCAGTTTGTGTCTCGGCTATTCCCTGTGCTATTAAACAGTGCCCGGGAAGCAGACCCCGAGGTGCGGAGCAATGCCATCTTTGGGCTGGGCGTACTTGCAGAGCATGGGGGATGCCCTGCTCGGGAGTATCCTATGCTTGCAGGGGGGAAATGGGGTTGGAAGTGAGCCCAGGGATTTGATGAGGTGCTGCTGCAGGGTGAAGTCCACCAATGTGTGTGTGTGTTCCTTAACTATGGACCAGCCACTTCCCTAAGCTACTGGGCCTCCTTTTGCCCCTCCTGGCAAGGGAGCGACATGATCGAGTTCGTGATAACATCTGTGGGGCTCTTGCCCGTCTGCTGATAGCCAATCCAACAGGAAAAACAGACCCCCAGGTAAAGGACGGGGCATCAGGCAGGGGTGGAGGCCAAGGATGGTAGAGGGGACAGGACATGTGGGCCTGAGACTTCCGTGTATCCAGGTGCTGGCTACCCTGTTACATGCCCTGCCCCTGAAGGAAGACATGGAGGAGTGGATCACTATAGGTCACCTCTTCAGCTTCGTGCACCAGAACAGCCCTGAGCAGGTAACCCTGCTGCTGGAACTAAGCCACCGGAGTGGTAGGCTCCAGTCTAAGGGACGGGCAGAGGAGATGTTACTTGTAACTGATGCATGGTGAATTTCAGGTTAATTTCTGGCATTCACTCTACAGGCCAGGCTGGCCTGGAACTCACAGAGACCTGCCTGTCTCCACCTCCCCAATGCTGGGATTAAAGGCTTGTGCCACCACTACCCAGCTGACACCCTTTACTTGTTTTCATTTTTCCTTCTTGAGACAGGGTCTCCTGCACCCCTGACTGGCCCAGCTTCTTACATAGCTGAGGATGGCCTTGAGGCCTCAGTCCTCCAGTCCCCTCCCTCTGTCTCCCAAGTGCTGGGATTACAGGCATGCATTACTATTCGTTACTATTTGTCACTTTTTAGCCGTGCTAGGGATCAGACCCGGGCTGCATGCCTGCTAGGCGAGCGCTTGTACCCGCTGAGCTAAGTCCTCAGCTGCTTCTTTTTCTTTTTGTCCACAGAGTTGACAAAGGTCTGATGCTATGTTTCTCTGGGGCTTCTTTGGTTCTTCTCTTGGGCTAAGCCAGTAGTCACAACTTTCCTAGGCTGATTTCCTAAGACAGGGAAGGAAACCATTCTCTAGGGAGCCCTGGATGCTGCTCACCAGCCACCATAGATTAGTCTGCTCTGGGAATGATCTTGTACATTCAAGCTGCCTAGCTTGGTACCTGTGCCCTGGGGTTCTTTTTTTCTTTTTTCCTTTTTTCCCCAGATCTGAGGACCGAACCCAGGGCCTTGTGCTTGCTAGGCAACGCTCTACCACTGAGCTAAATCCCCAACCCCCCCAGGATTCTTATATTACCTTTTGTCTTAGGTTTTTCGTGTGTGTTGGGGGAGTATTTGGATTTTGGTCTTGAAGCTGACATCTTTGGTTACACATCTTAATCTCTAAAAAGAGGTGGTTACCATGTTTCTTTATTCCGGTTGTGTTGCGTGTCAGTTCAGACAACCTCAGGTTTCTGTGCTTGGTTTCAACCACCTGCTCTAAGCCCGGCTGTCACTGCCTCAGTTGACCGGTCCTTTTCCATAGGTTGTGGATGTGGCTTCAGAGCTCCTGCGCATCTGCAGCCTGATCCTGCCAGACAACAGGGTCCCACCAGGTGAGGGTAAGGGAGAGTGGGGGCAAGCAGGGCTCAGCGAGCCTGGGCCAGTATGGGCATAGGAACCAGGTCCTTCATTAGGCCCTCTCTCTACTCTACCCAGACACCAAGGCGGCACTGCTGCTGCTCCTCACCGTCCTGGCCAAGCAGCATACCGACAGCTTCCACACAGCCCTGGGCTCTCTGCCAGATGATAAAGCTCGGGAATTACAGGCCATGCTGGGCCTCACTTAAGACTACAGGCTACAGCTGGGCCAGGGGGTCCGAAGACTGTCAGTCAGCCCTGGTCTAGTTCACCTTACCAAAGACTCTATCCATTGGAAGCCAACCGTGCTGTTTTAACAGGGGTGTCTCTGGGGCTGGATCTATTACAAGCAGAGCTGTGGCATCATACTATAATAAAGGCGGCTTGTCTTCTGCTTGGACACTAGCTCCCTGCGCAAAGGCTAGAGGTATGTGTTCAGAACTGAAACGGGTGGGAGGGGCTGGAGTGGTGCTGCAGTGAAGAGAGCATACTGTTCTTGCAGAAGACAGAGTGCAGTCCAGAGGACTTACTTGCACATCTGGCTGGCACACACACATAATTGAAAATTAAAAATAAACTTTAAAAAACAAACAAATAGGCAAAGTCCAGTAAGGCAGGATATGGTTTAATGAACTTGCTCAGGGGAATTTGGGTCCAGGATGAATCAGGAGGCGCCCATATGGCTTCTGTTGTTCCACAAGAAGGATCTTCTGTGCGGACAGCACTGGTCAGAAAAGAAGGCAGGTCACTGTAGTGTGCCATAGCAGTCTCTGGCCTGCCCGACCCACTTTCCTGTACCTACACTCACCCAAGAGCAGATAGAAGACCCGAGAAGCCAACTTTCGGGGGCTGAGAGGGGGCACCAGGCTGCTGAAGTCAGGCTCCCTGTTGGCCTGCAGCTCCAGTGCTACTGCCCTGCAGGGATAGAGGATTGTCAGCTGGGGTAACAGACTAGTCCCACCCCTAGAGGGAGCCCTCCCTGATACCTAAGCACAGCCTCGGAAGAGAGTAGTTCAGGCCTTGGGGGCATCTCCATGGGCACTTCAGGGAGTTCAGGCAGCATGGGCAGTGCAGGGGGCTCAGGCTGCCCCTCCTCAATCCAGGCCCTAGGAAACCAAAGGGAGCAGAGAGGGAGGCAGGCAGTCAGGACAGGGACAAAAGCAAGGCCACTTAGGGTGTGAGCTTGCACCACTAGGATGCTTACCACCGTTCTTCTGGGGGAATGAGGCTAGTACGAGACTTTTCCTCTTCCGCTGCTTCTAGGGAGAGCTCTGTTGAGGGAGAGAGCACTGAGGGAGCCTGCTTGCCTCTGAGGAATGGGGACCTTGTAGCCAGGCTAGAGATGTATTTCAGTGGTGAGGCATTGCCTGACAGGGCAAGGTCCGATGTTCAATCCCCAGGACTACAAAGCTCCCCTCAGATTTTGGAGCCTAGGTTAGACTTGTATAAAGTGGGAGTGCTGGAGAGTCACATCTATGCTTTCATATCCCGAATGCTCCCTCGGCGTTAGAAATAGCCTCATCAGCTGGGGTGCTAGCTTCCTGAGACTGGTTAGGACAGCCTCCATTCTCCCTTCCTGTACAAGTGCTCACCTGAAGACAGCATGAGGGGACCGCTGGGTTCCTGGGCCTCCCTCAGAACCTGCAGGTGAGAGAGTACCAGAGTGTCAGGGTCTCGGTCTGGAGAGCAAGTGGGTGCACATGAGGAGGAAGTCAGCTCACCAGGGCTGGGGGAGGGGGGGCTAGAGGGACAGTGGAGGTGTTACCTCAATCTCGCTCAGAGCTTCAGTCTTTCTTCTTTCTTCCTGGTCTGCCACTCTCTCTTCCTCCACTGTCTCTTCAGGCTCCAGGTGTGGTCTTTTTCTGAGCATTCCTGGGGGGACCTGGGCACAGTGGGTCCATAGAGCTCGTAGTTCTGGGGATAACCAGCCAGCTGACAACAAAGGAAATGGGTTTCAATCATAAGACTGAAGAGTCTAGGTTCTCAGGCTCCCACCTGCCCCAGTTGTCACCATTCTTACAGAGAGTTGGGGTTCTGAAGAGCTCTGCTGGGCTTGTGAACATCCTCTTGGGAGGCTGGACCACTGGCTGCAAGATGGTAGAAGGCCAATGGCCTTTTATGAGCGAGCCCCTTCTTCCTGCCCCTCCTTTGCTATACATTGTTCCCAGGGCCACTGCCCCTGTGTTCAGGCTCAAGACCTGCCCTACAGTGTTTGAGGCTAAAGGGCTAGGTAATAACCTGGTATCTGTGTATATGTAATCCCTCACACCCTCAGTTCTAGGAAACAGGGCCTTTTTTTTGTCAGTTTCCCATTGTTCTTAGGAATTCAGAAGTCCATCCAGACCTGCATCCCTCTATTCCTGAGGGAGACCTGGGCTGTACTCACATACTCCAAGCAGTGAGCCCCGGTCTGCATTTGTTCCTCAAATTTCTCCCGGGAGATCTGGGTCTCCTTGTCCCAGAATAATAGCTTGCGGCGGCGGCGGGGGCGCCGGTGAGGTGCCCTCTGAAGAGATGGGAGCCTCTTATGGAGGAGGGAAGGCAAGAGTCAGACTGTTCTCCCCTTTCCCAGAGGGCCCACCCACACTCTGCCTCTCCTCAGTTGTCTGGGGAAGAAGCGTGGGTAAGGTTCTTACTCAAGCTTACACCTACTGGGAAGTGAGGCCACACGATCTGGCATTGTACACTAGTAATGGCCCTGGGCTTCAGGGCAAGGGTATAGGAGGGGAAAATAAAAAGGAGGCAGCTTGGGGAAGAACCTACTCACCTCTGTACTTGGTGGGGCAGGCAGACGCAGCTCCTGAGGTGGGGTCACCTCTGCAACAATACCCATAAGCCCTCTCACTATTTTTTTTTAAGACAAAGTCTAGCGCTATAGCCTAAGCTGGCTTTGAGTTTATGGCAACTCTACCTCAGCCCAGCTTCTGGAGTGGTTGGGCTCCACACTAGACTAGCCTTCACTCTTACAGCGACCAGTCCAAGAAATCACCCAGTGCCTCTTTTAGAAGGTGAGGTACAGGCTTTTGTCTCTACTACTGTGCAAGTGTTCTCAAAGGACCCAGTGACAGACACTTACCAGTGAGGAGTGCTCCAGGCTCCCAGCCTGTCATCTTCTGTACCTCAGGAGGGAAGACCTGGCCTGGAAGTGGTTCTTGTATCCCTTCAACCCTGAGGGGAAATAGGCAGATAAGGAAACCCTTCCCAGCAGTGACCCCTTCCCTGGTCCAGGGTCCTGCTCTTACTGTGCAGGAGCTGGAGGCGTGAGTAGGGGGACCAAACCATCACCTTCCAGGGCCCGGGGTTCTTCCTTGGATTCTGCAGAGAGAATCAGATTAGGAGACAGAAGGACAGGGCACTGTCCGTTCCCAGGTTGGCAGTACAGGGGTCTGACCATCCAGTGGTGGTGAAGCCCTCCGCCGCCGGAGAAGCCTGCCTCTCTGCCGTTCCTCTAGGAGTATGGCATCATCTTCCTCTGCAATCAGCAGGTCTAAGTCCCCTCGACTGATCTCTGGGAGATCCTGCTCTCCCTACACAGAGAGGAAAAGAGTGGATTTTTGGAGTGTGAGCCTAAGGAAGCCCCTTGGGTCTATAGGGACAGAGTGGGGACATGGAAAGGAGGCAGAAACACAGGGGTGCAGTGAGACTGGATGAAGCCTGTGTTGAAGGGGAAGCTCACCTCAATCCGCAGCATGCGGATGGGCTCTGCCTCCTGTAGGGTGATGACCTCAGGGGACTGCACGGTGGCCAAGGTCCTGTCTAGAAGGGTAGGAAAGTCATTACCAGGCCTACTGCTTCTTTCTAAGTTGTTGGGACAAAGACATGGACCAAGAGCCGACCCAGGCAAGTTACCAGCAAATATTTTCTCGTTTTTGGGACAGGGTCTCACTATATAGCCCTGGCTATCTTGGTACTCATTCTGTAGACCAGGCTGGCCTCGAACTCAGATAAGCCTGCCTTTGCCTCCCCAGTGCTGGGACTAAATACATCACTAACATGTCTGGTTCTGCCTCCACTTTCTGAGTCCTGGGATTACTGGTGTCCACTTGGGACTTTTTTTTTTTTTTAAGTAAATGTCAAAATGATTTCCTTAACCAGTCTTAGCTGGCTTTGAACTCAGTATTTAAGCCAAGAATGTATTGTACTTGCGGTTTTCCCATCTCAGCTTCTCAAGGAAATGGGATTACAGATGTGGATCACTGGGGCAACTGGGCCTGGTTTTTTTTAAAGTGGTATTTTTTTCAGTCCTTGGGGATTCTGTGCCTTTCTATAGCAAGGTTCTGTCTGCTAACCAGGCTTTCTGGACTCTGGAGTGGCTTCAGGAAGTGTCTCCTTATGAATTTTCTTCGGGGTTGCAGCCTCTAAAAGGTGTCGAATCTTTGGGAAAAAATTGGGAACAAAAGATAGGTCTCAGCCTCAGTCCTCTGTGACTTCTCTTCAAACATTCAGTGCATACTGGACACCGATCTGGCAGTCTCTCTATTTTTTTATCTTGGAATTTTAGCTTTGTTTTTGAGACAGATCTTACTGTGTAGCCCAGGTTGGCCTAAAAAATTGTTTTTAATATTTTAATTATATATGTATGTTTGTATGCACCCTTGGAGGTCAGAAGAGGGCAATAGATGTTGGATCCTCAAAGCTGGAATTATAGGTAGCTGAAAGCTGGTAGTGAAGTCCTGACCTATGCAAGGCAGGACACACTTCGAACCACTGAGTCATGGCTCCAGCCCTGTTCTACTTAAACTTGACAGGTTTCCTCCCTGAGACTTTTTTTTGTTTTGTTTTGTTTTGTTTTTTTTTGTTTTTTTTTTCGAGACAAGGTTTCTCTGTGTAGCCCTGGCTGTCCTGGAACTCAGAAATCCGCCTGCTTCTGCCTCCCAAGTGCTGGGATTAAAGGCGTGCGCCACCACCGCCCGGCCCCTGAGACTTTTTAAAAAAAAAAAAATGTATTTATTTTATCTATTCGAGTGCTCTATCTGCATGTAAGTTACCATGTGGTTGCTGGGATTTGAACTCAGGACCACTGGAAAGGCACCCAGTGCTATTAACTGCTGAGTCATCTCTCCAGCCCTCTTTGAGACTCTTCAATTCTTATTTTAGCTTACATTACCACATCCAGTGTGAGTGTGTCTGTGTGTGATGTGTCTGTGTATATATGAGTGTATGCATGTTTTCCTTTAGAACTGGGAATCAAATCTAGGGCCTTGTGCATGTTAAGCTAATACTCTACCAGTGGGCTACACCTCCAGCCCTAATCCAAATGTTTGTGCCATTTGACAAAAGTACATCAGAGGCCACCACCACCTAGTGTCCCTCCTGCCCCTGCCCTAAGCTCACCCCCAAATTAGCCTTGTCAATTTGTGTTGTCATGGACAGAGAGACAAAGAGAAAAGATTCTTGGGTAGCTGGTGGTGGGAACAAACTTGTGTACAATAAATCAGTGAAAAGGATAAAGCAGGCTTAGTAAAGTCTTCAGAGTCCAAGAGTCATTGGCTTTGGGCTTCAAGTGGGATAAGGATTTCATGGAAAATGGTGGTATTTGCACTAAGTCTGGAAGGATGAGGAGGACCTGACTAGCAGAGAATGAATGGCCACTCCTACAGGGTTGGGACACTCATTTTCACAAGCAAAAAAAAGTAAACATGGCGCCTTTGGGACATGTGCAATGGGCTGCTGTTTGGGAGCTAAAGTGCCTAGAGAAGAGACCAGAATGGGGATGTGTACCCCTAAATCCAGGTACCAAGACCAGAATGGGGATGTGCACCCCTA